ATTGCAAACACAGGCACAACGCCAACAGTCTCTTCTCTTTTTCTCTAGATATCTTGCCTTAAAGGTGTCAGGAGCAGAGTCCATGCACCTCATCCATTCTGGCAATACTTTCATCAGTTTAATCTTGGCTTATTGTGCTTTCTCTGTTGTTTGATACTCCCGTTATGGACCCAACTGGCAGGAATCTCGGTCCCTTTAAAAGAGGAGCTCTGGATTTTCAGTTTCACTTGAAGGTTTCCTTAGGAAACAGTGACCTCTTGTGACTGAATTTCAAAATGGAGAAACAGACTTCTGTATTCATGATAGATTTCTAATAATCATCCCATCTTCATGCTCAGGTGAATAGACTTTTCCACAGAGTGCTTGACTTCATTTGTATATTTCTCATAACTGCATTTATTCTTCTTTCACTGTGTACACATTATATTCATTTACCTTATACATTTATGGATAGCTATTTTCATTTCTATGTATAGCGATGGGATGTGTACTTGTTTGACTCCCCTGCCACCTCGTCCATTGCTCAAGGTGACTGTGATGCCATTGTGAGAAATCTGGATTGACTTCAAAAATTTGAACCACAGTTTCAACCAAGATGTGGAGCAATGTAATGTTAATGCCAAAGAGGTATGTAAAAGCTATTAAAAATGCTATTACATTTTTAAAATCTCTTAGGTTCATTTCTGAGTTTTCACCAGGGGGATTCAGCTCTACAGACTAAGATCTAAGTTCCAGACCAGGTCATTCAATGTCTAAACTGGCTTTATTTCTGAAGTAACTTTGTATATGAAAATAAAAATCCAAATCTGTCTCAGGCTTCCATTGGAAGTTTAAAATATAATCAAGACACTTGCCTAAGTGTAGGTATCCATTTTCTTCTTACTTACCATAATAATGTGAATGACATGGCACAAAACACAAGTACTTGATAATCCTTACAATTGTGATAAACATTACATAGCTATCTCATCTTACTTGTTATCTGATAGGCTGACATAGATTGCAGTCCACTTGATCATATGATAGTATATATTCCTGTCTGAGGAATGTTATATATTAGGAAGAAATGTTTTTGACCTTGCATGAGCATAGCACCTCTATGCTACTCAATAAACTAGCCTGCCTTTGTCAGGCCTTCTTGCAAGCCTTAAGAAGGAAAAGCTGCTTCAGAAATGGCATTTCTGATGTTGCTGCTTTAATGAGCTTTCCTGGCAACAAGACAGAAGAAGTTTAGGATTAAACCTATGTTGGATGACAGCTCTCCTCAAATAGGTGCTAAGAGCTTGACTAGTCAGCAGAAGTAATGAGTAACTGGCTTTCTTTACATCTCAATGTATAGTTTTCCCACTACTATATAAATATATGCTCCTCATTTGGAAACAGAATGAACCTGAACCAATAAAAGTTAATTCTGAATGATGGCCTTCCCTGATTGCATCTCTGTTCCTACCCATGTATTTCCAAGGTTTGGGGTGTAGATGTTGTAGTATCAACATACAAAAAAGATTATAACAGCAATCCACTAACTACCATCCACTTAGCCTGTTAAGTATAGTTTATTGATTTATTAAATTTGTATGCCACTGACTCCCAAGACTCTGAGTAGCTCGCAAGTAAAAACATTAAAACAAGAAAAAAAATACAGTAAGAGGCAAAAGTAAAAGAATAAAATATGGCAAGAATGACAAGAACCAGACAGGAACAAAAGAGAAACAAACTCACACAATCCAAGGGGGCTTCACTCACCTTTGCCAAAGGCCTGGGCAAAGAGCTCTTTGCCTGGCCTCTCCTCTCTGGTCCTCCCCCCACCCTCTGTGTTTCTCTCCCAATCCCAGGCATAAACAAAACAAAACAAAACAAAAAACAGCACACCACCTATCCTGTTGCCATAGTTAGTAAACTATATTCAAAACATCTGAGCCACATTCTGTTAGACTGAGTAGAATTAAAAATACATACTCGGGGAGGAACCAGCAATATTTGGTGAAGAACATTCAAGCACTATATTAGCTGTGTACTATTTAGTAGAAAAATATGTTAAAAATTTTAAGTCTATTTTTATGTAGCCTTCCCAAGCTTCAAATTCACATTTGATTCAATCTCTAGAGCTATTCGGTAGGAAAAACAGAGCTACTACAAGTGACAAGTGCTTACTCTTTCTAATGCAGAAATTACATACTAATGCAACTGTGAAGTGAGATATAACCCACAGATGTTACTTTCAAGATCAATTTCATCAAATAGAAAGGTTAGGCAAGGATACATTTTGGCACCCTTATTGTTTAATTTTTTTATCAACTCTATAGCCTACAGTGTGGCCAACTCTGACTTCCAATTTCTGTTATTAGCAAAGAAAAACACCTTGCAGCTCCTATATGTGGATGGTGCAGGTGTTATCTACTGCACCCCAATGCACCTTAAAAGAGCATTGTGAACCTATTGCAGAAAACAAAGACTAGCTATTAATTTCCAAAAAAACAAAGTGAAGTTCGCCAACGGAACTAAAAAATACAACTAAACAGTGGAAGGTAGCAAGATAGATCAGCATTATCATTTCAAATAACAAGGAGAGGTGTTCCACCATATCAGGATCTGAAGCACACACACACACACACACACACACACACACACACACACAGAGTATACTAAGCAAATACATCTAAATCTGCTATCTAGATAAAGAAATTTTGCTTTACTGGAGGTGAAGAATTAGTTTTAGCAGCTGATAAACTTTTTATACCAAATATTTGGCCCAAATTCTGTATGGAAGTTGGAATATGCAAGTAGGAGACAATCTAACAATATGTCCAAACTAATTTTTTTTAGCTATTGTCTTGCTGCAGTCAGATGTATCTCAAAATGCTATAGTTAGATTAGAAACTGTGATGCCCATAATAGAGGTGAAAGCTTGGAAGAGCATCATTACTTATTGGCTTAAGAAGCAGATCTTTCTGAAAGGACTAACTTCATTAGTTCTAACAGATGAGTATCACTTGAACTGGAAAATAGTGGTTGTGAGGAAGTTAACTGCTTATGGATTCACAAGAGCTTCTCTGTTTTCCTTGGGATGCAATTGTGCTAGACAGGTTCTGTCGCAAAGCATGACAGATATGGAATATCAGAATGAAATCAGCAAAATATCCAGTAATATAAAGAACTGGGTGACAAATTACGTCTCACAACCTGCAAAGTATTTATCATTGCTTTCCCTCCCCAAGCTCCGCAGACTGATTTTCAGAGCTTGGTATAACGCTCTTCCTTTGCAGTTTTGTAGGGCAAATACTTTAAGACCTCTGTGTTGGAATGTATTTGCCTCTGAGAGCTTGGTGAAGTATTATTACATTGCTGTAATATTGCATGTATTATTCCATTGCTTTTTCTACAAAGACTTCTGCAAGGAGAATCTAACTCTCATAATAAAAAAATATCCAGAGAAACACATAAATTTTATATCAAACTCTTCTCCTCTCTGATATAAACCAATACATTTCTGCTGCAAAGTTATGTGAGAATCTGCCAGCAGATAACCCAGATGAACAGGAAATATTAATTGTACAGTTTATGTTTTAATTCTATCTGATGTATGATAATAAATTTTTAAAAATTTCCTATATTGTTATGTACTCATACTAATGTAGTTTAATTTTAATTATTTTGCATTATATTATTCTATTTTATAATTAATTTTTCACTTCTTAATTTTAGTATTAAGAACACTTATATAAAGCTTTACTCTTTTAATGTTTAGTATTGAACTGGCAATGCTACTTCTTTGTTCTATTCATATCTTGTAAGTTTTCATGTTATTTTATTTTATTGATGTTATTTTATAATATTCTACGACTGAAATAAAGATATATATGAATGTATTTCATCTGATGCAGACATATATGCTTCTGAACTAGACATTAAATTGTCTGTATTACATGTTTCAATTCCAGAAGGGCAGTAATACTCAGTTTTTTCCTCCACTTGTCACTTAGAGCGTTTTGTAGCATCAGCCAGCTATCACTAAAGTGATGTAAAGTTTTCCTCACTAAGGTTATTTTGGCACAATGTTGGTTGGAACACTCTAGAAGATGCTCTAATGGAGATCTCCCTCTGCAGCTTTATTACATTCGCTAGTGAATTCAGTTTCAAATTTTGATATGAATTGTCTATTATTTTGGCATGAACAGTATACACCTTATTGTGTGGAAGGAGGGCTGCATTTGTTTTTCGTTTTGTTTTGCACATTTTCTTTTTCCATTCTGCAGGGTTTTTTTATTTTGGGGAAGGATATAAAGGGTATTCATTATTTGGAGTCTGATTTGGTTTACCTTTGCTTTTTTTTGTTAAACAAAATCTGATCACTTCATCACTTTTTTTCCACCACACTGTCATATGTCCCCTGCTTTGTATCAAATGCAAGTGCGTTATTTTTATGCAGGTGATGTTAGAATAATTAGTACTGTTTATTCTTCAGTAAAAATACTGAATTTATATCATGCTTTTTCCAGAAGAACTCAAGGCAGCATACTGAGATTGCCCCATTCTATCCTCACATAAACAATACATTGCATTAGAATAGGCTGAGAGATTGTGATAAGTGACTGGGTAATTGATTGGGGATCAGAACCTGGAGCTGCCCTGTTCTAGTCCAGTCCTCCAAACACTCCAGGAGCTGACTATTGCAGCAATCTTCTTTACTCATTTGATTGCCCCCCAAATGCCAGTAGAAAATGGGCAGACCACTGGAATCCCACCAGATGTTTTGGACTTTGGGGCCTCTCGACTCCAGGCAGGATAGTCAACGGCAAAGGTTAGTGGTTGCCAGGTTAATAAGAAATACAGCCTCTTAGTGGGCCCTCCATGAGTGAATGTCCTTGTGTTTTATTTTTAATGATACCTCAACTGCAAAGCAAAACACAGATGTCTGCTTTGACTGAAACAGCCTTTGTTTCATAATGGCTTTGTTCATAATGGCTCTTGTGCATGTT